AGGATAAATGGTTGTTCGTGGTGAGGGGAAGGGGGGAGGGAGGGGAGTGAGGGGGGGAGAAAGGGTAGAGATAGGAATGGGGGGAGTGGAGGAGGGAAGGGGACTTTACAGGTGGAGAGACGGAGGGAGATAGAGAAGTTATTTAGGAGGAAGGAGAAGAACAAGAACAAGAAGAGGAAGAAGAAGGGGAGGACAGAGAAAACGAAGGCGAATCAGTTGTAGGAAAGACATTAATAACTGGTGTAGTCTGGTTTTATGTCTCAACCACTGACCACACTTTCACCTCGCAACCTTCTATAGTGTGTGTGTGTGGCTCTGTTGGCTCGACTACCACTACTACTGCACCTTTGCCACCATTTTATTACCTTAAAGTTAACTATCCTAATACATAAGTAGTTATCCTATCTGTGTTGAGTTAGTTGAGCAGCAGATCTATGAGGCATTCAGTGACTGTAGCCTCATAGTCAATATCTGCAACTGTTGTCGGCTTTGGGGCCGATGCTCTCGTTCCCCTGAGGCAGAGCAATGCCGACCTAAGGAGAGAGAAGGACAGTCGACATCTCATCCAGGCTGTAACATAACTTCTGGGCTGCTGCTTCTGTTCGAATATCACCTCCGCGAGTCTGTCGTAGAAGTATCTTGCACTTGGTCCCATCCCACCAGAGGGTGAACACTAGAGGAGTGAAGCTGCCTTGATCAACGTTCTGAATTCTCTACCCGTATGCCCTTATCTTGTCGTTCTCGTTCCTCCTGTGTGCAGCATCGAGAGCTAAGTTACGGTGACATGCGGCCATGGGATCAAAAATCCTGATGTCGAAGAAGGCTCGCTGTCTCCGCGTCCAGAATCCTCGAGCACTGACGTCAACACGGGCTTCGTTGGATGTGTTTGAAGTCCTATGTTGGAAAATCTCACCGTCCAATGGAAGGAGGGTCGGTTCTACCCTGACATCACGGCAGATTTCCTTCAACATATTTGCTGTGAGATCCCTTACTTCGTCATGCCTCATGCATATGAAGCCCCCTTTCTTGCACACCATGACGTGATCTACGTCATGGGAAGAGCCACACACGCATTGGGAGGGCAAACCTTCCACTGGCCTACCGTACCTTAGAGCATTGGCATCTGTAAATTCTTGTTTATTGAGACTGAAACCATTTGCCCTTATCGGTAAAGTAGTTAACCAGTTCGAGGCGCCCTCCGCCTGCGCTATAGCTACTTTTTTTCTTCTTCAAATTCTCTGGTACTTGGAGCAACAGTTGCTGCAACTTATCACTTTGGCCGTGCTGTCGTAATGGACCTTCGAATCTTGTTTACTTCACAAGTTATAGGAAAAGTTGTGTTGGCTATCACTCGGCTAGGCTCGTAAACCTCTTCCTCCTTTATCTCTTTCTCTTGTTCTTCTTTCTTCCTCATTTCTCATTTTCTATGCTTCTTTTCTATTTATTAATTTTCCTTTTCTTTATTCTTTTTTGTTATTTCCGTTTTCTTCTCGAATTTCTTAATTTCTCTCATTTTCTCTTCCTCTTATTATTCTTCTTGGTAAATTTCTTTGAAAATTTCTTAAGTTTTTCCTCTTCCTTCCCCTCTCCCACTTTATTCCCATTCCTTTATTAACTTTCCGTCTTTCTGTGTCTAAGATTATCATTAAATCTCAACAAAATGATCTTAATTATTAAATATTTTGGGTTAGGTTAATGTTGCATGTAGGACAGAGGTCACCAATATTAGGTCAATGGTCATCAATTACAGGCACATGTAGGGTAGAAGTCATCAATATTAGACAGGTTAAAGGTCATCAGGTCATCACTTAGATAGGTCAAAGCCTCAGAGGTCATCAATATTAGACAAGTTAAAGGTCATCAGGTCATCAATTATAGACAGGTCAGAGCCTCAAAACTTTTCAATATTAGACAGGTCAATGGTCATCAACTATAGACAGGTCAGAGGTCATTAATATTAGACATGTATATAAACTGTCTGTGTACATATTACTATTTCCGTACACGCTAACAGGGGTCAGTATTATGTGTATATTTCATATTACAGTAACCAGTTAAATCAACAGTTAAGAATGAACTGTATTTAACTGTATCTAACCGAGAATGAATTGTAATTAACTGTATCTAACCGTGTATGAACTGTAATTAACTGCATCTAACCGAGCATGAACTCTAATTAACTGTATCTAGCTGAGTGTGAACTCTAATTAACTGCATCTAACAGAGCATGAACTGTAATTAACTGTATCTAACCGTGTATAAACTGTAATTAACTGTATCTACCCGAGCATTAAGGATATATTTCCCTACACTACACTAACTGGTTAAGCGACGCTAAGAATGAACTGTATTTGACTGTACATAATCCTACTGTAACTAATTGGTTAACTCAACACTAAGAATAAACTACATTTGACACTATCTGCCCCAGTACTGTCATCCCACTCTACTCTTCCACGATGAAACTGTAATTAAGAGACTAACTATTACGTCGGGGAAGTTGCTGTAATTGAAGGTAATTTTACAGTTTTGGGGGTAAAGTTTGGCGCCACGAGACACTTAAAGATTATTTCAAACTTGCTACGAACGTGATGCTTCCAGTGACGAAGAGAGCAAAAAAAATTGTGGAAATAAAGGAATATTATGATGCTAATGACAGTAATTCAGTTGTAGTAGTAGTAATAATAATAATAATAATAATACCATAACAGACCCAAAAATAACATTTCACAGCTCATAAAATGTTAAGATTATATTTACGTAAATATCGATGTGAACAAAATCATGATCGTCTTGAGTAAAATGTTTAATGTATAAATGTGTATATTATTTATTGACTTATCTACTCAAGTAATAATAGCTTTAAATAAATATTTGTTTGTAAATTACTTTATCCCGCTTTACATATAGGTGTAGCGGCTGTCAACACTTTTCTGGCTAGTAAGTGTTGTTCTATTTTGTTTTCACCACATAGGTATATCGTCTATCATATATCTCACTACAGAGCTAATTTATTAACTATAACTTTAATCATGTGTGTAAAGTAATAAATTATATCTCACTACAGAGCTAATTTATTAACTATAACTTTAATCATGTGTGTAAAGTAATAAATTATATCTCACTACAGAGCTAATTTATTAACTATAACTTTAATCATGTGTGTAAAGTAATAAATTATATCTCACTACAGAGCTAATTTATTAACTATAACTTTAATCATGTGTGTAAAGTAATAAATTATATCTCACTACAGAGCTAATTTATTAACTATAACTTTAATCATGTGTGTAAAGTAATAAATTATATCTCACTACAGAGCTAATTTATTAACTATAACTTTAATCATGTGTGTAAAGTAATAAATTATATCTCACTACAGAGCTAATTTATTAACTATAACTTTAATCATGTGTGTAAAGTAATAAATTATATCTCACTACAGAGCTAATTTATTAACTATAACTTTAATCATGTGTGTAAAGTAATAAATTATATCTCACTACAGAGCTAATTTATTAACTATAACTTTAATCATGTGTGTAAAGTAATAAATTATATCTCACTACAGAGCTAATTTATTAACTATAACTTTAATCATGTGTGTAAAAAGTAATAAATTGACTACTTAGGAAAATCGCTCCCGCCAACACCCTGAAAACTCGTATGTTATATAATATTTATTTGACTTACCTCAAAGTCCATATGTATACTGTAAGATGCCTTGATAACTATACACTATAATTGTAAGTCACTTCATTAAATTATACACAAAAACACCATAAAACTTATAAATAAACAGGGACAACATTTGAATGCGTCCGCCTTGGCCGAGTTCACCGCGCTATGTCAAACGAGATCCCAAACTGCTAATTTTTCTAACATGTTTATATTAATATCTGTAAATATTAACAAAATTATAATAAAATATAATAGAATGATATATATGTTTTACTCAATTTGAAGTACGTAATATATTTTTAATAAGTGAAAATGCATACTGTATACAGTATAGTTCCCACCAAATACCAGGATGGCGCCAATGCCTATCCTGTAAAGTATTCCTTTTTTTACCCAGATTATCAATTTAATTCAATTCTAACAATTAAATTCACATAACTGGTATTTAAAGGCAATATCTTAGCTGCTTGTTAATGGAAAGAAGAGTGATTTATATGTTGAGTTTGTAATATAAAGAAAATAGCAATAATAATAATAATAATAATAATAATAATAATAATAAATAAATAAATAAATACAAAATAAAATCCTCTCATCCTCTACGAGCCTACGTTATCTCTAAAAAAGTCCCACACAGTATTTCAAACAAGGAACAAAACAGTGCTAAACTTGCCCACAAATTTATTCTTCACGACACAATATACCTTCCTGTCAATATTTACTTTGACCACTACCACCAATGGGAAGACTGAGGCTGTGTGTGTCAGTCAGTCTGGTACAGCATTATCTTCCCTTTATTATACTCAGTATAGCATTATCTTCCTTTTATCATACTCAGTACAGCATTATCTTCCCTTTATCATACTCAGTACAGCATTATCTTCCCTTTATCATACTCAGTACAGCATTATCTTCCCTTTATCATACTCAGTACAGCATTATCTTCCCTTTATCATACTCAGTACAGCATTATCTTCCCTTTATCATACTCAGTACAGCATTATCTTCCCTTTATCATACTCAGTACAGCATTATCTTCCCTTTATCATACTCAGTACAGCATTACTTCCCCTTTATCATACCCAGTACAGCATTATCTTCCCTTTATCATACTCAGTACAGCATTACTTCCCCTTTATCATACCCAGTACAGCATTATCTTCCCTTTATCATACTCAGTACAGCATTACCTTCCCTTTATCATACTCAGTACAGCATTACCTTCCCTTTATCATACTCAGTACATTATCATACCACTAATACACATAGGTCTAGTGACAAGCTCAGCAGTAAATATCTTACCCAAATAAAAGTATTGATAAGAATTCAGGCACTTTATTAGAAGGATTGTTCCTACATTATATATAATTATACACTGTAAAACTATCACCATCATCCTAAGTCACAAACTATCATCCTATCACACAAACTGATATTGCTAATAGGATATATATATAATCACTTCTTTTTATTTAAGTTATAGCACAAACACACAATATGTGGGCAAGTTTGAGCAACAGCACTCAGTTGTTCTCCAGGTACCACCGCACAATTGAACTAATAGTGTTCAAGGCCACGGGGAAGAACTTGGGTTGGAGGTGTACAAGATGCCTTCAACCTAGTCTCTCCCTGTGGCTCGTGCTGACAAACAAACACCTCCAAGAAACACTATATAGGAGTGTTTTCCTGCACTGGCTCTTAATAGTCGAAAAGATTTTCATTTGTAAATCATGTTAATGGATTCTTTCATAAGTAGTGACCAGAGTATTTAGGGAACATTGGTTTATTGAACATGTGAATATCGCATTAAATTACTTTGGATCACATTAGAGTTAACAAATGAAAAAGGAGAGCAGCTTCATAAACTACAGCAGTAACCCTGAGTCCTACTGTACAATACTGCCCAAATAGTCAGAAAAAGATGTAAAAATCTGCATATTACCAACAACTAACCTCTTACTAAGGGGCGACAGTGTTGAATATTGACACACAGCTGTTATGGCTACAAGCAAACACACATAACACATACTTGGTCTCTTCAAAGCTTTACCGCCACTAATTCCAAAATAGACCTCAAAAAATAGTCTACTCTCACTATAGCCTCAAGATAAATGTGCACTGATAAGAAAAGGTGACTTCTATCAACACACAAATTAATAAAATAACCTCTATTGCATACACGTACCAATGGCTTTGGGTCTGATTACTTCAACAGAGAACTGTATGCCCCATTCTATCCACATAGCTGGGGACTCCAACCACTACATCCACATAGCTGGGGACTCCAACCACTACATCCACATAGCTGGGGCCTCCAACCACTACATCCACATAGCTGGGGCCTCCAACCACTACATCCACATAGCTGGGGCCTCCAACCACTACATCCACATAGCTGGGGGCCTCCAACCACTACATCCACACATAACCTTGTCCCTATTACAAGTGAGATGCAATACATATTTGCCATCATACGGTAAATGTTCCCCAGGAAAAACTCTCCCTTTGTAATGCGTCACAATGTTCCACCTACAAAGACACAATGAGGGAGATCAGTACCTCCTCAACATCTCACTCCTCATTAACTCTCAACCGAAACTACGAGACCCAACAACAATACGCAACTACAGACAAATTCTGCTAATCAGTTGAGCTATTACGTAAGATGAGCAGTAAACACTCGCTTGTACAGAAATAATTTTGTATACCAAGAATGTGAGTTGTACTAGAAATTACACAATTAGACGTGTTGATTTGAGAAGTGAGAAAATACACACAATTCTGGGGACCAATACGACAGAAAATAGTGATCTTTAAAGCGTGTTGTGGGATCTGAGACTGTCTCAAATACCACACTATACAGTTAACAATATATTTACTCTGTCTTCAGGAGCATGACAAACCCACACTAGGTTAAGAAGTATCTTTTTTTTAATTTATGGAATATAAACCTGGAACTAATGAAAATAAAACAGTAAAAGTTAACATTCAACTGAGCTTTCCCGTGAGTAACAGTCTCTAAAAATCAGTAAAGAATTTGCTTAAGTTACAACACACAAATCAAGAGACAGAGCCATAGTAAAACAGTTTATTTGTAAGTGCAGAAAATATTAGAAAACTAAGTTTGTAGGTAGATAACAATTTATCAGTACAGGTACAGTATAATGTTTTACCTGATGTTTCAAACAAATCAAGTTTGTAAGAGAAATGTATTGTAAATATACATTCCTCTTCCCGCATGGACAGAGTGCTACTGTGGAGGTGTTTCAATATTAACCCTCACACTGGCTCATGATATATAGATTGCATCGCTATGATCCTGACAGTACCCAGACCTCCCTCCCTCTGGCTGTCTTGGGCACAGCCACAACTCCTCACACACCCGACAACTGATCATAAATAACTCATTGCCGTTGATCTCGCAGCTTTATTCAACCAAAAAGACTAAATCTAATTTTGGACGATACAGTCGGCATCACGAGCCAGATGGCAGATGAGTTTGGGAAGGGCCATTGACCAGCAAGAGGGCGAGATTTGTCCGACTGTCAATACTGTGAAAGGTTAACTGTTGTATCTACTCAGCAAGAGAGAGAGAAAAAATTATTGAAGTTTGTGTAGACTATGGTTATCAACAAAGAAAAATACACTTATAATTTAATTGCATTGTTTGTTAAGAGGTAAAACACAGACCTGAGACATCTAGAAACAAAAACAAAAAAAACAAAAAAACTCACAACCTCAAAATCTAGTATGAAAATCTTGACAAATACAGTCGCCCATTACTTGCTTTTCTCTCCTATTACATAAATTTCTAACAATATAAAGTTAGCTATAATATCAAAATACAAAAACATGATTGTATATTTACTGTATTATGTTATATTTAATTATCACACCAACAATGACAACTTGAAATACTGCAGTCATTAAGTTCTCATTATTTTATCTTTTGATGTAAGGACAATACATTATCTCCCACACTATAACGATGTTCACTCAGTAAAAGATTATTCTCCACCTTCATGGGGTCATACAATCTGATAACACTGGTCCCGGCTTCTGTCACAGTGATCATTGTGGATGGTCTCAGAGCCAAGGATGCAGGATATATTTTTTTGGGAGTGTATATCACCTCACATACTTCAATACCATAAAGAAATCCCTGTTATGACACAATATAAACTCTAAAATAGACAAAAATAAAGTTGACTAAGAGAGCGACTTTAATCATCTTTATTCCTAAACCTGATTAAACACTATATTAGGGTTAAGAACGGTTTGTGGATCACCTGAAGAATTTCCACCCTAGCTTGTTTTACCTCAAGATTGACCACACTAACACTGTTTGGGGGGATGAGGTAAGGTGAGGTAAGGTAAGCATTAGGTTAGCTAATCTTTAGTTAAAATAAGCTGGGGTGGAATGTGTTCAGATAATCTTAATTAGTTTGGTTCACCTTTGACTGTTGCCTCATCACAACGAATATTTTTCTCAAAGTATATTTATGTTAAAAAAAATGATAAAATCCTCTGACATCACCAACTTCTAATTATGAGAAAATTAAGCTAAGATTTGACGTATTTCTGTAGCTACAATGACGACAATTTATGATACCTATAATAACAATAATAATAATTCTGTAATAATAATAATAATGTTTAAACTGTAATCAATAATAAAGGTAACATCTCTATAAATTAGTTGCAATACAGCGACACCTTTATTTAATGGACTATGTGGAGATGAAAGTCCGTTATATCGAGGGTCCATTAGATATGAAACCCCCATATAAGGAACTATGTATGTACTTTTATAGAGATGAAAGTCCATTATATTGAGGGTCCGTTAGATATGAAACTCCCCAACTAACGGATTATCGTATACGGAGAGAGAGAGAGGAGTCAGTTGTATGGAAGGTCCGCTGTAGTAACTCTAACAATATATTATAATGAACGTGACTCCAGAACCTTTGAAAAAATATCATTATGAAATATACACTATGAAGGGAATGCTCAACATTCACTCCTAGTTTACTGTACCATTAAAATTACTGTACTCAACTATTCATGGCTGACATCTTCCCCTCTGCTGGACAAATTTTACAGCTGGTTTATGTCTGAAGTGTTTTTTTGGTTGGTTTACATTTGAAGCGTTTTTTGGTTTATTTATGCATGGTGTATTTTATTTTAATTTTTTTTAGGGGGTTTCTCTGATTTTTTTTTCTTCAGCGGCTTAAGTCCTAATTGAATTTTGTGTCAGGAATAAACCTCATAATACCCTCATTAACATCACAAGGTTAAAATGGGATCTTAGTAATATATCAAACTTGACTAATATAATTAATAAACTATAAACAATAGTATACATAAAAAATACAATCATATTTTTGTTTGAATTTGGATCCTAACAAAAACATGAGGATTAAAGTAGTTTTTTGATTATAATAATAATATACACACAAGAAATCTATGAACAAACAACTTGTCACCACAATAGAAATTTTCAGTCTAATCATCACAAAAAAGAAACAAGTATACAGTATACTTCTTGTGCCTGTCTCATGATATTCCACTGTTGCTCATCTCTTTAAAGTTAGGTACTGTACCCCTTCCCTCAGTCTATATGGAGGATGTGTTGTCAGAGGTGGTCAAGGTTCTCCAGGAGTTAATCCTCAAGTAAATCCTTCACATTATTGTTGTTTTACAGTTATTTTCTACACTTGCGTGGGTTAGCCACGGTTACCTGACAGCAGATCTCCGTGCTGCACTGTCTCTCGTTAGGTTCCTAACTACAGTATAATATGATGATGATGATGATGAACCACCTCATATATTTATGGTGGTAAAAACTAGTAATTTACTTATGAACTGGTTTAGACAGAATTCATTTAGTGAGAGGGAGGGGTGTATGGGTACCTTCACTTCTTTCCCGCTGTACAAAATCCTAACAGTCATATTGTTTTTTTTTTAAGTTGCCTAAACTACTTAGGTTATGAAGCAACATTCAATGCACCTTGGTTCTATGACAGACTATTGTTCATTAAAAAATTCAATTAACTGATACAAAATTTAAATGCAAAACTGTCTTTTTTCTCCATTTGTCATGAGCAACTGTGCCTAATATACAGTACTGTACCAGGCCTTCTAGCACACTGCTCAAACATGTGCAAAAATTATCACTTACAACAAACAAGGATGAGTCATCAGTAAGACCATGATGACTGTGGATACAATAACTAATACTAACATTGGTGGGTCTGTATCATAGCAGAGCTGTAATTTTCACTGTTTATATACAAGGTATCAAAGTCTCAGTATCTCTAAAATAGATATTTACAGTACATATAAATCTCACTTAAATGGAGGATTACTTAATAGGGAATGTGGCATATTATATTGTGCATCATTAACAATATCATCCCATAAGTGACATACTGTATTAAAATTAACTCCAGTATGTCTTATAAGTTACAAGAAATTTTGAGAGACTAAACCAGATCACAGAGTCTCAATTCACAAATCTTACAATATACCTCCAGTTTCATTCCAAAATAAAACACCAAGACCAAAAAAATAAATGGAACCTCTGTTAATGAAGCGTACCACTGTGGTATATATACAGTCATGACTTCAACCATTGAGTGTACATCATGTCATTAGTGTCCATCCTTATAAGGCTTAATCACTCTGTCTTTACCTGGTGAGGGAATGGTTGAGGTGTGAGGAACTGTTGATATGAGATAACCAGGAAAATCTGCAATAACAATGAAGTTATAACTATCCCCTGTGTGATGTGGTCAGTCTTCTCAACACCGGGTTCTTAGGAGAATTGTCCACATGTGATGCCCGATTATGTACTGTACTCGCACATGTATGTTGGTAATTTGGATCTAGTTATACCGCTCATAATTATGGTTCAGTTGGTAGCATTTCTAAGCACCCAGTTCATGAGATATGGTTCAATCCTGTGGCTAGATAAGGTTGGTGGGGCATTTTACTGCTAAGTTTGGCCACCAACTTCATCAATGTTTCTGGAAGAGGCTAATATTTCTTCACTCGGGGCTACCACTAGGAAAGAGCAAGAAAGACATTTACCTTTTTCTTCTATTAAAATACATCAGAAAGCTCAAGGGTTAAAGTCATCCTTACCACAACAATGTAAGTCAAAAGGAAACCTTATCTGTAAAATTAAAGTTCCTAAAATCAAAACTTCATGTTGTAAAAATTATACATAAAAAACTACATCATCTAAAATACATAGAAATGGGTTACTTATCCAAAATAAATTAATAATTGGGATACAAGTGACTGTGTACAATCATAAAATTTGTGCCAAAGTTATTCAATTCTTTTTTTCTTTTTATCAATACAGGAACTCATAGTTATGGACACTTTTATCTCTTGTTGGCAGACACCGGAAAACAGGAAAAGAATCAACTGCTTAAAAAATACTCAACAATGGCACTCAAATATATAACAAAGAGACATATATATACACAATGCAACCACCAACTACTGTATAACTTCCTACTGTTTTGGCACCTCTTCATCTGGCTACTGAAACCATATGCTGTTCCTACCTAAGTGTGGTGGATGGTGGCGTAGTCGAGACAGGGACCAAGACCATTTGATGCCCGAGCCTCTGTGGATGACCTGAAGATTAGGCCTCCACCCCACAAAGTATTCACCAGCCTGAGATTATTTGGATGGGTGAGTGAGTGGGGATAAGGGTGGTGGTGGAGGGGGGCCTAATCTTCATGTGATCCATGAACCATGGTGTCGTCGGTGGTCTCTGACTTGACTACATCACTGGCGGTGGACGAGGTGTAACGAGTCTCTATCTATTTTGGCACCTGACGACCACAAATTTTGATTTCCCTCGATCTCTCCCATCACAATATAAACACTGCAGTATGTACGGATTCCAATATGACAAAGAAAAAATATCTTATACCAGGGACTGTATTTACATGTACATACCATATATAAATCCAAAGAATATACAGGTATATATATACAGTATATATATATATATACAGTATATATATCTGTGATCCACAAATGTATATCTCTCATGTAAAATAACCATCCATATATTTATATTCAACTATAAGATTCTACATGACTATTTATACAGTAACAAGTTGGGTTGCCACCTCGTAACATTCTACTACCAAATTGAAAAATGGCTGTCACATTCTTTTTTCTTTTTTTTGGTAGGATGTCAGTACAATATACAAAATCTGACCTTAAGAAGTCCTTTTCTTTTTGACACTGATGTACAGGAGCACAAACATAACAATATTACCAATAAAGTTGTCTTTACCATGGGGGGGAAAATATGCCATGACAGCTCCAAACAATTGTCATTCTCAACCATCTGTTCTTCACCTGAAAAGAAGGGCATCTTTCTACCCCTGACTCCACACCCAAGTGATAAGACTACACCAGCTGATAGTATAACAAGGTTATATGTTGACTAAAAGCTTCCTGGGTCTTTAAATACACCAATCTCACATTATTTATTAACATCATTTGTATATATAAGTATTCAGGGGCAGATCCAGGATTTTCAAGAGTGGGGATCCAAACATAGAAGAGGGGGGGGAGGAGGGGGGGGTGTCCAAACAATATGTGTAGTAGGTAGATATAACGATGTCACAATGAAGTTCACATACTAAAAAAATATAAATTACCTGAACTATAACCAAGACCACAAAATATACTATACCTTGCCGAGTCATTAGTAAGATTAATTAATACCAGAACCCTGAGCCCCCACCCTGTATTGACCCTTCATGTTAAATCTCTCATTATTATTAACATCATCTAGATATAAGTGTTTACCTCACAATACTGTACTTATTAACAACTGCTATATAAGTGTTGGCTAAGTTTGAGCTTTTATTAGTTTGGTCTCATTCATTATTAGTATTATTGTCTTTCCCTGTCATTCATTATCTTTCTCATTCTGCTTCATCACTCTTCATCTTCCTTGTTTCCTTCATCATTCTTCATCATCCTCGTTGTCTGCTTCATCATACTCATTATCCTCCCTGTCGTCGTAAGCCATAGCATGGTCCAATTCTATTATGTCATTGTCAGAGAGTGAACCTGTCCGGCGGCGACGCACCTCACTCAGTTCTTCTGACACCTAGAGACAGAGAAGCCAGTAAGTGAGGGTCAAGATGGATGTTAACCTAAAGTGAATAATATTCCTGTGAAAAAGAAAAACTCTGAAAGTACATAGATGCAACACACAGTATACAGAAATGAATTATGTACAGTCACCCAAAAAAGTCCTGTCACCTCTCATCCTAAACCACAAACCCAGAAATTCAGACTCGTGAACCCGAAGCAGTAGACACTGATACATTAGTCTGTCCATAAATGCTTCGGATTCAAGAGTCTGAATCTCGGGGTTCATGGTTCAGGATGAGAGGCGACACAACTTTCCTGGGTGACTGTACATCTTCACTATAACAATAGAGTACAACACACCAATAACCATACCTCATGTATTAGATGCAGTTTACCACTAGTATTAAAAAGTACACCACTGTATAACCCACTTGACTCTGTTTTATATCATGTTTTAGAATTTACCACAGTGTAGAAACATAAGAAAGAGTGTACAGTAAGTGTTAGTTCTATGCTTGTTTGTCTAAATTGTCATAAAGTACTGGAACTGAGCAACAAGTGTATCATTTTTTCTATAACAACCAGTAATGTAAAGTGGTACTGTATATGTCATTTTGTACATATATACAATACTGTATTTATAACTACTGTAATGTATTTTTTGTACATATTTTTTTAATAACCTACATTATATTTGGGTATGGCTTTGTGATTACTTGCTATAATCTGTAATTTTGGAGCTGTAATTTATCAACTTACAGTTTTAGGATTTATTCAAAATTTCATAAATGTACACTGTACCTATACAGTACTGAACAGTATACTGTACAATATATAATTACAGGGTACTGCATAATGTAATATATTTATTTCATTTATAAGCAGTGGTACTTGTGTATTACTTTTGCATGAAATATATTTGTAATTTGGCATGATTTTGGGATCATTTTGACCAGTTACATGATTTAATTTGCACAACTTCATCCAAGACAAACTGAAATAAAAAAAAATAAAACAAAAGAATAATGTTGTGAGGAAACACTGAGGAATGGGGCACCTTGTTGAAGAACTCTGTGTTTGTGTTGGGTTCAGACGCATAGCCTCCTTGTACGTCATCCTCATCATATTCAGTCGACGAGTCTGTAAGTGGAAGAGCGAGTAGGAATATGCATTACTAAGGGTTATGCTGTAAAACTATATACTGTATCCACAATATACAGTGCAGGTGCTCCTCTACTAAAAGAACGAGTTACGTTCCTGAGGCTTGTTTGTAAGGCCAACTTTACTCTTGTAGATACCAAACATATTGTAAAAACTGAAAAGATTATGGAGATTTAGTACAGCTATACCCTTTAATACAGCCTTAAGACCTGGCTCACTCTTCTCCTCTTAGGTAATGTTGTTTGTTCTATCTGGAATTTTTTCAAAATAATCCAGTCTCATCCACATTAAACACCTGTTCTGGCAGGTGATGATGTTTGTATCTCTGAAAGTTTGTAAGTTGAACGTTCTTAAGTAGAGGAGCACCTGTACTGTGTATATATATATATATATATATATATATATATATATATATATATATATATATATATATATATATATATATATATATATATATATATATATATATATATATATATATATATATATATACTGTATATATATGCAAAAGAATGCATTATTCAGAGTTGCTGTTAAAAACTACATATCCCTAAAATACGCCTTTATTATACAGAAAAATACTGTATACAGTACCTGCAATGTCTGTGTATATACTGAATTATATACAGTACTTGCATTGTGTATATAAATATCGATTCATAATAAACATGTATGACAATTTCACTGAATAAACTAAACCAAAATGAAGTTTTTTAACTGTGGGTAATAATGTATTACAGTATAAGTTGTAGAGAAATGTATAAGTCCAGAAGGTGACCTAACAAGTTGACCACAACGGGGATGCCACTTTTAATAATTTATTTGGTTTATGTTAAGACGATTTTATTCAGCTCAGAGGAGATCCCATACACATGGGGTTCAGCTAACTTAATCCTAAGAATATTTATTAATATCAAGACTCAACATACAAAAATATCATTACCTTCCAAGACTTTGTTAGCAGTTGGTTTCCTGACGGAGCAAACAATCTGTGCCAGGTCGGTGAAGTTAGCGGGACATCCGTCGAGGCTAATGTTCTCGCCCCGCCAGTGGTTGTCGGCGGTCGAAGTGCTGAGCTGGTATATGCTGTCTACCGTACGGCCGCCTTTGAGCATTCCGCTGAAGTACGACTTACCGTGCTGATAGCCCACCTCCTAATTTTGAGATGAAGTCATAGTGAAATTAGGAAATTAATATCTAAATTATCTTAATTTTTTTCAGACTTCCTTATAAGGGGTAAAATATTTTCCATAGAGTTGAGACTTTTGCAAATGTAAAGGAGAAAATAGTTTTACTTAGAGAAGATTAAAGACCATTTCAATGTTTTTAATCTTTAGTAATATTGTACACAACCATAATACATTAAACATTAAGAGGTTGTAAAGAATTACCAAATGTTAGCCATTATTACTCTGAATATTGCCAGGGAAGGAAGGAAGGAAGGAAGGAAGGAAGGAAGGAAGGAAGGAAGGAAGGAAGGAAGGAAGGAAGGAAAGAAGGAAGGAAGGAAGTGAGGAAATGGAGGGAGGGAGTGAGGAGATGGAGGGAGGGAGTGAGGAGATGGAGGGAGGGAGTGAAGAGATGGAGGGAGGGAGTGAGGAGATGGAGGGAGGGAGTGAGGAGATGGAGGGAGGGAGTGAGGAGATGGAGGGAGGGAGTGAGGAGATGGAGGGAGGGAGTGAGGAAATGGAGTGAGGGAGGAGGAAAGGGAGGAAGAGAGGAGAATAAAAAAATAAGACCTTACCTTAATCTCATCAAAAGAGCCAAACTGAAGGGTCTGGTACTTGTCAATAGGTGGACGAATATATTCACAGTAATCACTAACTTTGAGCTCCTCTAGTTGTCGAGTGCATGACACATAAGACAACCGTGACTGGATGTCATACAAATTTGGCACCTTGGAGAGAATAAATAAAAAATAAATAAAACAATAAACAAAAGAGATAAAAAATCTTAATATATGTTTATAACTTTTCCTTCACTAACAGCTGATAAAATATGGTCCTTACATCATGAACTTGGAATCATAAATAGAGACGTTTACCATATATAAACAAAACACTTGGTTTGATAGTGAACAGTTTATTTAATCATTCAGCAAAAGTAGTAGTTTTATCATACGTCGTATGTGTACAGTGTATGCTACAGTATGGACATACCATCACTGTTCTTCAAGAAACCGTGAACTATTATTATCATTAACTATAACAATATGCCCACTGTAAAATTCTGCATAACAAATGGATGGAAAACTGACAGAACCCATTTATACACAACTAACTTTACTGAGCAAAGTATAACTAAGTACTGTGCTGTAAGTGAATATGTCTATAAATGTAAATAAATAAATATATAGAATCCTCCTCACCTGACTTGACTCTCCTCACCTTAAGTTCTTTCCTGAAGAAGTACTTGAAGGGGAAGACCCTGCGGAAGAGAACACTCCAACCAGAGAGACAATCTCCATAGTTGGTGAAGTGAGTGTCATACTGACAACCAACGTCAATTGCCAGAATGTTGCCAACGCTCCACTTATTGTGCATCACGTCACCTGTGTTGTGGTGGGGAGGGTGTGAGGAGAGGGATAAAGAAGAAGAATTATTATTAAATCTGATCACCAGTGTACAGTACCGCACGTCTGGGAGGCACGAGTACTTGTCTTACATCATTTAAATAAACGCACGATTCATAATATTGGAAGGCATTAAAATATATGGATATTGTACAAGTATATGGATTTAAAATTTCTTCAAAGACACGTATTGTGTAATTTTCATGAGCACATAATCCTCTTTGAGCTAAAAGAACCCATGAGAAGATGATACAAAAATATTAAGTAATTATTTTTCACCTACAGTAGAGTAAGTCTCTTTACTGTTGCTAACCTTCTTATTTTATCACTTACAGTACAATACAGCATTGCATATATCACAAGTTACCTAATACAGTACTGACAACTTAACCAGGGCTGGAAATACTCACCTAGAGGAGAAAAAACCCAATTTGATTTGATAATATATTTCCACATACAGGTAATTATATTTTTCATCTTGGGATATAAAGTATTAAACAAACACAATGATATATTCAAGTATTAAATAAAGTGAACTTATGTCTGTCTTCATAAGCTTTCAAGACTCATAGTTTAAACATAGAGTATTAGAAATTAGATATGTTTTAAGGGGAAGTTCACTTAAATAGTAGTTCATAACTTCACCTAAACTAAACAAATTTCCACAACAAGACTTAAACTGTGGCTGGCAAACTCTCACGTACAGTACTACACCGTATAAAGTGTTACTGTATTGAGAAACATCACAAGACTCTTACGGCAGAAGAAGCGACTAACTGAACTGAACTGAACTTTCTCACGTGGTATAAGTGCATGAGACCTTACCTGGGACGTTGTTGATGTAGCAACCATCAACCAGTAAATGTCCGTCAACGGGGTCTGGCATGGGAGGGACCAGCATAGCTATGGACATGGAGGCTCGCACATATCGCCAAGCGACCCCTGGCATGAACGGACCACGACAGTAATTTAGTTAAGATGCCCGGGTGCATCTTATCACTTTCAAGGCCAGAGTCAAGAGCTAATGCTTGTTCAATATTCTTACAGGATCAATGTAAACTTGTATGAAAATTTTACTAAATAAATACCTACCTATTTATCTATCTATCAACTGAACTGATCTTCTAAACTTAACACAAGACATACAAATAACCTATTAATTTACTAATGGCAATAACAATATGCACTGTAAATACTTTCTTAAAACAAAGTGACCAACGAACTTTATGTAAAATAATAATTCTGCACTTAAATTATACTGTAATACTTTAATCAGAAGAGTTAGTAATGGCAGAAAAGTTTTATGTTGAGTGAATTCCAGGTTTTGTTGTGCCCAAGTAATATTATATGGCAAAACTACACCTATTTTGTCATTTACTAATTAAACTTTACATGTGCTGCATCTATCCAATTCTGTCTTGTTGTTTACTGAAGTAAGAATAAAGATAAATGTACAAAAATAATAACAACAATAATTATATCACTGAAAATAATGAATTAAAAAGCAGGACAGGTATAGGTCACCCATAGTGTAAGACCAGTTAGTAGCCATATTAACATGGTGAAGTAAACAAAGAATTATAATAAAGTAGGTCAAGTTGTCTAAAAATATTAAAAATAGGTCAAATTAATATACTGTACTGCAACTTTGTTTAAATGTAAGAATAGATACAGTTACTAGAGATAAAAAAATTAAGTTAGTAGAGATATATTATAAAAAATAAATAAAAATACCTGAAGGTACAATTTTAGACCAGAAACAATAGCTACAGGTCAAATAGCCCGTCCTAATAGACCCCAACTAACCTCACCTATATATGACTGGGACTATATACAATTGTGGTGCTTTATTATTAAAACCCATTTGGACTGAGACCCAATAGCTTAGTTATGAGACCATGAACGGCATCAAATACGAGACCATGAATGAAATCCTTCACTATTTTAGCCGTTTAGTATCACCTGATAATTGCCGCCCCCCTCAAATGCTCACGTGAAGTTTCACCACCAACTGAAGTTTTACCCTCCCCTTAAATTCATTATCCAAGGGAGCTATCTTCAGGTGATTCCTATAGGCTAAAATTACAAATGGCCCATTCGTGATCTGATCTACATTGCCAACTGGGATCTATTAACAGCCACTGTACTGTAATGCCCATCAGACCAACTACAAAAGCAATGTGAATCATGAGTACAGTACTGAGAACTATAAAAGATACAGTACAGTACAGTATTACTATATTAAACAATCATCAAGTAAAATTAAATCCCCAAGTAGGATTTTTAACCTAAATTTTCAATCAAGTTTAATTAACAAAAACAAATATAGAAAGTTAGGAAAATAAACTTGGATTAGTTAAAAAAAAATTGGGGTGTACAAAGAATTTTATTAACAGAAAAAAATATAAATATCAAAAGTAGAGATAGAGAGACAGACTGAAAACAAAAGAACTTATTAATAACCCACCTACTGTACTGTACTGTTATCTGTACTATGAAGCAAGTACTGTAATACTGTATTCACAAAATGTACGAAAAATACCAAATAAGGAACAGACGTAAAAGAACACGATGCAACACCCAGACAAACCCTCCGTCTTCCAACAGTGTAGAGAATTACCATACAGAGCCAAGTGATCATTTTATCTTCTTTAAAAATGAAAACCTAGACAACAAGACTAATATAAATGTTTAATCGTATACATCACCAACGTAAAAAAATTATATCAAATCAAGTAAACACGCAAGACAGCTAAATATATAACTATTATACTACAAACAACAATAAAGTCAGGCCATCAGGGGAAATATTGGAACCGGAAGCTGAGATTTCTTCGTAAAGCCGAATCACCCAAATATTAGGCACCCCAGCTTATTTCACCTGATGATTTAACACCCCAATGTTACCTGGAGGGGTTATGTTAGCAATAGGTTAGGTTAGCTTTGGTCAGTGTTAAGTTATGTTAAAGGTTAGGTTAGGTTAGCTTTTGGGTCTTTAATCATCAAGTGAAAACTGCAGGGGTGCCTAATCTTCACATGATCCCTAAATTCTACAAAGTAACTACAGTACACACCAAATAACAAAGAGGAAAATGAACCATGCATAATGGAAATTGCAAAATAGAATAATTAAAACACTGAGACATAAGAGCCCCTTATGCCATGCCACAACTACATACATTAAACTGAAACACCTCTTGACTTGGAAAATAAAAACTCAAATGGAAATATTGAAAGCCAGAAAGTTTGACATTTGTGAATAAACCTCAAGTACCTTAATACCTGTACCCTCACATGTTATATCTTGTAATACTGAAGGCATTTATCTTTTTCAGTCAACACCCGATTTATTCTTCCATTCTTTAACACTGAACTGACGGCTAAGGATTTACTACTCCGTCCCAATGTGTGTACAAATGGAACGCAAGCAACATGAAACTTCCACCAATGATGGCTGCCGTTCCTACTGCTAACTTCCACCGATGATGGACGCCATCCCTACTGCTAACTTCAACTGATGATGGCCCCCATCCCTACTGCTAACTTCCACCGATGATGGACGCCATCCCTACTGCTAACTTCCACTGATGATGGCCCCCATCCCTACTGCTAACTTCCACTGATGATGGCCCCCATCCCTACTGCTAACTTCCACTGATGATGGTCGCCGTCCCTACACACAACTGCCACTGATAATGGCCACCAGCCATACACATGACTGCCACTGATGATGGCCACCGTCCATACACATATTTCCACTGATGATGGCCGCTGTATAAAGGGAAGTTGATATAAAGAGTTGTGAATCAATATGGAGGCTGAGAGATTCACACTGTGTAATACTGTACATATGTGAGCTGAAGATGAGTATGTGTGTGTGTGTGAGAATATATATACTTGTTGTCTAAGCATTTTCTCACCACTTTCCTTGCACCATTCACCCAACCAATCCCACATCATGAGACTTCAGTGCCCACAAAGGAATACAGTATACATAAAATGACCTACAGTATACTGAATAGATACTGTATACATTTGTAGCATCATTAATACAGTAACTTGAACCTATTAAAGTTTTGTCACAGATACAATAACAACATAACCAGACCATAAAGGAAGGAAGCTTTTAATGGCCTTCCTGGGTAATCTCCTCAGTGTGTGTGTAACATGTATAAGTTAATGTGCACATATGTATAAATGAACTTTGGTACATGTATAAATTCAGGGGTTAATAAATGACTTGACACTGATGTTTTTGCATACAAACATACACACACATACACGCACACATGCACACATTTTCATTATTATTATTAGTCACTTTAACAGTATAATAAAAGTATAAACTTCACCAAAAGTATTAGTGTAATGAAATAATAATGGAATAATGTTTATATAAAGTATTAAAGCCAATTAATATGACCACATCACAGCTCATAACTACCCTGTTCTCTCGTTCTTCAAATGGTGTGGAAAGTAAACACTGGCAGAGATTAACAACAGTTCCTTGACTGTACCTCAACCATGTACTTCCCCTTCCTTCCACAACTAACCATGGTACTCCCCCTCCCCCTTCCACAAGACACTGAAACTACTATGGCACTTCCCCTTCCACAACTACCATGGCACTTCCCCTTCCACAACTACCATGGCACTTCCCCTTCCACAACTACCATGGCACTTTCCACTACCACAGTATCACACAGACACATACCTACACCCCCCCACACACAGTAAGTTCCTACCACAAACAGAATCTACAAAATTCCATTAAAAATCACCAATAACACCCCTGCCTACCTAACACCCCTGCCTACCTACTAACACCCCTGCCCACCCACTAACACCCCTGCCCACCCACTACAGTAACACCTGCCTACCCAATAACTCTGCCTCACCCCTAACACACACCCCACCCACTAACACCCCTGCCTCACCCACTAACACCCCTGGGCTCACCTACTTCAACAACACTCTGCTCACCTACTTCAACCCCCTTCTAACACCCCCACCACCTACCCAACACCCCTGCCTACCTACTAACACCCCTGCCTACCCACTAACAACCTGCTAACACCCCTGCCTACCTACTAACACCCTGCCTACCTACTTAACACCCTGCCTACCTGCTAACACCCCTGCCTACCTACTAACACCCCTGCCTACTACTAACACCCTGCCTACCTACTAACACCTGCAACCCAACACCCCTGCCTACCTACTAACACCCTGCCTACCCTACTAACACCCCTGCCTACCTGCTAACACCCCCTGCAACACACCTGCCTACCTTACTAACACACCTGCCTACCCACTAACACCCCTCTGCCTACCTACTACAACACCCTCTGCCTACCCCTGCTAAGCAACCCCTGCCTACCTGCTAACACCCCTGCCTACCTACTAACACCCCTGCCTACCTGCTAACACCCCTGCCTACCTACTAACACCCCTGCCTACCTGCTAACACCCCTGCCTACCTACTAACACCTCCCACATAGGCCTTTCCCTACTAGGCTTTTACTGTGATTCATTTCATTACCTTTTATCCACAACAACAACGATCATTCTAAAATAAGCCAAGATATTATACAGTATAAAGGTGCTTTGTGTTTCAACTGTGGAGCAAATATGTTTTATGTTGATGCTGATCGTGCTTAAGTGAATTAATTCCTTCCGAAAAAGAAAATAAATACAGGGTAACTTCCCAACGAAGCCACTAGGGGGCAACATCACCTCAATATAATATATCAGGTAATATTAAATTCTGTCATGTTTGCTTTAAATTTCAAGAATATTTTTATTTTATTTTTTTACACGCTGTCTTGATATCATTCATAAACAAAACCAACTGGGGAAACATAAAATTATAAAACTTAAAAATATTTCTCTAGAAGACCTCCACCATTACCACTACCACCACCACCACCTAGAGTAAACAA